TTTTTGTTTCGTCGTAATTTGGAAAATTAATATCAACTTAAACAGATCAATATCTTAAAAAATTATCTAAACCAGGTGTTGGCAATGTGGCATCTGTGGCATTTTTCAGATATGCCCTCTAGAACCATAGTCACTCAAATGCAAATATATATACTTGTAATTTTGCTTAATTTGGTTTTGTGTTATGTTCTGTACATACTCTTAATTTTTATTTTTCAGTTATTGAATGCATGTATAATCTTTATTTTATATAAATATACATATTTCAAAACATAATTCTTTTGTTTCTTTATTACAACATTATGATTTTTTTCAAAATTTAACTTTGCACTCTCAATGGTTTTTAAAATTTTTATTGTACCCTTAGCAACCAAAAAGTTGATGACCCCTGATCTAAACTAATAATTTAAGATTAATTTTAAATCCTATAAAATTTAATTTTGATTATAATGATTAGTTACAACAATGGCTGTTATGTATATATATCAACATCCCAAAGTTTCGTGTATTGATACTAATTCAAATTCTTGCCGTAATTAATCGTGCATGCTATTGTGAGACTAAGGGGTTGTTATGATATTACTTGTAACCCATTTGGTCTGTTGGGTCATTAAGACTCGCTTCGTCACTGGATGGCTTTTTATAGAATGCCATGAGGATCATACAATCCCTCCAACGTCAGGACTGACACCAGCTATGGTAGAAGTTTTGCACTCTAACTCGTGATGTTATGATCTAGATGTTAAATGGAGGGCTATATTCTATTGAGTGGGGATGAGTTGCAGGTAACTTTGATCATAGTGAGGTGAATGTCCATACTTAAGTAACTGAAGGAAATCAACAGGTTAACAAAGAACAAAAAGGATTTAATGAATAAAATAAATCAAAGAGATACTTAAATTGAGATACATAATATAACCTATCATAAATCAAGCCTATCTAAAATAAATCTCTAAGCGTGAGAGAGAGTTTACAATCGGTTAAAAATAAGGATAATACTTCTGTTGATCAAACTTGGAGAATGTGAGATGAATGCTAGAGAGTTGGAGTGGGACTATCATCTTCTGCTTCTATTAGTATGGCAGGTCCGAATTCCAGTCAACTAGTCGTCATTTATGGCATACTCTTATTATTGTGGACTGCCCCAAACTCGTGAATTTTTTCCTTTTTTATTCTAAGGTTCTGCCAATCAGATTTTAGTTTTCTGATCATCTGACAGGACATACATCTGATGAAAGGGACAGATGTTCGTCAGATAATTGCAATAAGAATTTTCTAAGGGAAGTTCTACTTCCCTTTCCCACCAAATTGGCAATTTTTGGTCTATTTCATAGCTAAAATATTACATAGAAATTATTAATCAAGTGGGAAAATCTAAGACTGGGATAAATAAAATGAATAAATTTTCGAATAAATGGCTCTCTACTCGCATTCTCATACTGTAATTAATAATTAGAAATTAAGTATTTTGGTACTAGAGGTAGATATTAGACACCATCTCTTATCTAAATTAATAATTATAATAATTTAACAAATAATTTAGAACATTTTGGAAGAAAAGAACTAGCCTGGAGCAGGACTTGAACCCACTTAATATGCAGTGTACTTGCCAGTTACACCATCCAGACCCCAGTAAGTAACTGTGAATGGTTATATCTGAATTTAAATATGCCTGAAAGCAAAAACTTGCTCAGGGTCTGGATGACATGACTGGCAAGCATACCACACAGTAAGCAAAGGTTGTGGGTTCAAGACCCACTCCAGGCTCCTTCTTTTCTTCTAGAATATGCTAAATTATTTATTAAATTATTATAATTATTAATTTAGATGAGAGATGGTGCCTAACATCTACCTCTAGTACCAAATTACAGTGGAGCGTCGATTATCCGAATCCATTGGGGACTGGAGTTGTTCAGAAGATTGATGTTTCGGATAACCGATTATGTATGAAAAAATATATTAATTTATCCCATCTTGACATTTTTCTCTGTTGCGTGTCGCTTTGCGTTGAATTTTAGTCGATGTTAAGCCTAACGAAGACTATTGTATCGTTAAAAATTATTTTTTATTTTGTACAAACAAAATAAATATATTGAAAAATATAAAAACAATAAAAAATTATACTTCAGAAGTTAATTTAGTATAAAAAACGTAAAATATTTGAATAGCCCAAGACATAGCCAAAGATTGCAGCACCACAGCACTGGCGAAAATTTAAATTTGCTGACTGGAATTCTTTCGGATAATCGACGCTCTACTGTACTTAGTTTCTAATTATTAATTATACCATAATAATAGCCCAATTAATTTTGATGTGACATTGCTATCATACAGGAAGAAAATTTAATACTTATATTTATGATATTTTGCATTAAACTTTAATTATTTTTAATTTTTGATGAATTTAATATTTTCTAAATTTAAAATGATTTATTTTTATAGCTTTTACCAAAGTTAAAGTTGAACCAGTTGGAAAATGGTTTGAAATCATTTGTTCCAGAAGACGAAATCATTATTCAAATTCCTTCCATTCAGTAGAAAGTAGTAGTTCAGATGAGGATGATGTCAGTGGTGAAGATGAAATTGAAGATATAAATTATTTACGTAATTTAGATCCAAAAGACTGGAAGGTAAAAACATTCACAGAATTACTATTATTTATTTAGTATTACAGAATTAGTATTAAATAGATTGAAAAGTAGATATAATCACAAAAAAAAAGTAAAAAAATGTAAAAAAAGAAATGAAACTAAAACACTTAAAAAATTAATATGAAAACAGAACATAAGAGATATTTAAGTATATATTGTTTATATCTCTGCATTCTGTTTTAGATTTTTCCCATTAACATGAACAACATTGATTATTTTAATATCTTTTAACTAAACTTTATAATGAGAAATTCAGAGAACATATATTATTTTCTATTCAAAAACAATTATTGGTTTTATTTGAATAATAGCTGTAGTTACTATTTTAAAATGCATATTTTCTCTCTAGTTACTATTTGAGGGAAGCTGGTATTTCCGTGCACATATCTGTTTGATGTCAGTTATTAATAAAGTATTCAAATACTTATTTATAAAATTTTGATTTTCAAAACAAATTATACTTGAAATCTAACTGTTATCTTTCTTTATAATGAGAGTTACTTTCTGTATACCAGTAATAAGAAAATAATTAAAATCTACATTTACTATATATTGTACATTTTAGGTATTTCATTTTCTATTAAACTTTACAGTATTTATTGTATTTATTGGGCTGCAATTTGAAAATTGCAGATGTATGAATTTCCACAGGTGTCTGTCTGTCAGTTTATCTGTCCTTAATCTTGAGAATGGAGTTAGATGAAAGTCAAAACCAGATACAGAAAGCTTAGGGACAGGAAACCATGATTAACTATATATGAACTTCCAATTTTGACCAGAAGTCACATTATTTATAAATTTTATAAATAAAAACAGTGTTTTACTTTCTCAGCTTGTTATGTATGTAAATGGGAAAATATTGGAATCATGTCAAATTTGATTCTCTGAGTTTTTTGCAAATATCTGTTTTGAGATCTCCTGAATCCAAAAATGGCAAAAATAAATTTTTGTGTGTTTGTTGGAGTCTATTTCATTTAATATTTTAGGATGGGGTAATGATTCAGAAAAAAAAATTTAGTGTTGTAGCTTGTGTATAAAGGGCATTGATACTATTAAGTTTTGGTGGTTATAAATCGAGGAGTGGGAAGATAGAAAGGGATCACATGCCATAACTCTAGATTTCGGACTTTCATGAAGATTTTACTTGTTATTAGCATTTATAATTTTATGTAAAACTCGTGTATTCCCCTCAAAATTAAACAATTTGCAGTTTTTGTAGTTATTAATAATATAAAAGTTGTTTTTTAACAAAATCTCTTAATGAATGACACTGTAAACTAATTTTAAATTTGTTCTATTACATTGTGTTTTCTCCGGGAAAGTTATGCACAACGAGGTGGACAAGAAGTCTCAAAGAAAAGGTGAACTCATCCCATAAAGACTGTTTTATTCCTGAGGTTATGAGAAAGGACAAGATATGAAGACTTTTATTGTTTCTTCCATATTGTGTATATATATTTATAATATGGAAGAAACAATATATATACAGTAGAGTGTCGTTTATCCGAAAGCTGGTTAACCGAAAGCATTCCAGTCAGCAAATTTAAATTTTTGCTAGTGCTGTGGTGCTGCAACCTTTGGCTGTCTTGGGCTACTCCAATACTTTTTTGTTTGTGTATGTGTGTGGTGTTTTTCTGAGGACTGTGTGTTGGGGCATGTGTCGTGCTGAATCAAACGTTTTTGATACTAGATTAATTTCTAAAGTATAATTTTTTTTGTTTTTATATTTTTCAATTTATAGTAGAACCTCGATTATCCGGACTAATTGGGGATGAAAGTAGTCCGGTTAAGGAAAAATTCAGATAATTGAAACAAATACTTTAATTTGTCTTTTAATGATAATACAATACGTTTTCTTTTCGATGACATATCGGTAATATTAAAAATAAACACTGTATTTAAATCATGATCAAATTTTCAAGAAACAAATGTTTGTATTGAATTTGGATTACTACTGACCAGCGCTAACAGACTACCTATTGTTTAAAAGGCCCTCTGGTGGCGCAAGAAGACGGATTTTATAAAATAAAAAGCAGTTGAAACTGCATTTTTATGAATAAAAATTAGACAAACTTTATCGTTTTATGATGAGTAAAATTTTTTCATCGCGTTTGCGACTTTTAAGTAATGCATAAACCTTCAAGGCACGAGGCAAAGGCGGTGGCCCACGTCGTCCATGCCTTATGCCGCCCTTGGTCATAGAAATGATGTAACTTGCATATAAATTATTTATAAATACGTATGTCAAGTTATATTTTTATTACAACCTAAAATATATTTAAGAGTTTATGACCACTGTGCTGGGTGAGACGTTGTTGAAACAAAAAAAGTTATGCATTCCATCACGTACATAAACAGTCCATGACGTACATAATTCGTCAAGCGCAAATCAGCAAATTCGTAAAATTTTTGTTTATTTTGAACAATCTGGATAATTGAAAATCTGGAGAATAGAGGTCCGGATAATCGAGGTTCTACTGTATTTGTTTGTATAAAATAAAGAAAGAATTTTTAACGATACAATAGCCACGATTATTATAAAAATTTTTGTTAGGCATAACAGCAACGAAAATTCAACGCGAACTGACACACAACAGAGAAAAACTTCAACATGAGATAGGTTAATATATTTTTTCGTACATAATCAGTTATCCAAAAAATAAGTTATCTGAACAATCCCAGTCCCCAATTGATTCAGATAAATGATGCTCTACTGTATATATGTTATGCATTTTGTTTCTGGACTTTTTATTTAATTAAATGTGTTAAGTTTTAATAATTCTGCAACTCTGAAAACTTTTTTCTAATCAATAATTTTAATAAATTAAAAATTTTAATTTGCAAAATTTAAGAAGATAACTCATTAGAAAGAATGGTAAATACAGGTGATTTTTCTCTCAATTATTTTTTTAGAGAGACATACTGTATATCTTCTAATAGACACCTCCTGCATTTAATTATCAAACTGGCTGACTAATCCAGTGCTTATTAGCTTACAGTTATGTTCTACAAAAAATAAAGAAACCAAGTAAAGAATGGATCAAAATATGCATATATAGCAAAGGATAATTAACAATCCCTTTTGCTAATTTTGGTCAAACAACTCAGATATGAAGCACTCAAAAAATGAAACCAGAAATTCCCAAGTTCTGGTTTTGGTTTTGCCAGAGACTGGCATCTATTTGAGTCTTTGCTATATGGTTGCATTTATGCAAATGCAAGAAGAGGGAAAAACATGAAAAAATGAACTTTTCAAAACCAGAATTCACAATTGTGACACCGATTATGCAGAAGCGAGAAATGCACATAAATGTCTAGACTTTGTACGAGCATTAGTTCTAAATTATGATGCTGCACCAATAACTGGAAGCTCGATTTGTGGTATTTACTGGTCATAACTACAAATTATGATTGCTTTATTTGTAATTACTATTAGTTAATAATGAAAATAAGATTTTAAACAAAAGAAAACATTCTCAAACTAAATCACAACATCAAATGAAACAAAACCCATAAACATAAAATAACATTTGGACATCCATACAAATAATGTATATCATCATAGCCAACTTATTTTATTTCAGTTACTTTTTCCTTGCTTGGAGTTACTATTTTCACTTATTTTGAAGACATTTTCTGTTTTGAGGCTCGTAAGCTATTCAGATTTCTCACATGTACACTTTGTGGTGGCTAAAGTGAAATAAATCAGTTACTGAAAAAAGCAAACATATTCGAAAAATTACATCTATTTGATAACTATAAAAAGATAAATCAGTATATCAATTTTTATTATTCACTTAGATCAGGACTTCTTAAACTATGGGTTGCGACCCCATTTGGGGTCGCGAGATTTTAATGCAAAATATTGAAAATAATTTGTGAGAGTTTGAAAATGGCACGCTTTGTGCGATAGGTTTTGTGAGTTGCGCTTTGTGTCACTTCTGGTGCAGAGAGACAACAATTCAGCAACACTGTAGCGTAAACTAGTGTAGTGTTGTTGCTTTTCAGTGTATTCAGTTGTCTCTGTTCTATTGTAACACAAGAGTGAACTGTGGTAGTACACCATTATTGTTTTTGCAAATTTGTATATATCTGTATTTTATATTTTTTTTTTGGTCGCAAAAAAATCACAATCATAAATGGGGTCGTGAATAAAAAAAGTTTAAGAAGCCCTGACTTAGATCATAAATGACATAATAAATGCAAGAATACTGAATACATTTCCACCTCTTGAAGTGGGTAGCAAATTGCCTTTGCAACTTAACATTCAAACTCTCACTGCCTAAACCAAGGCATTTTTTGGCTTGCAATTGGACTACAACTATAATGGAATCTGGTTATTATAATCACAAATATTATCATTGATTGGATGTTGCTATCATAATCAGTTGGTCCCAAATCACTATATAAAATTAGTTAAATATATTATATAATCTGCCTATTATAATCAAACTGTGGCTAACGTTATCAGTTGTGATAATTATACTTGGAGACAAATGATAAGAATTCTTAGAAAATTCATACTACTGTAAATTTATCTTTTCCTTGAAACTTACTTTTAACATGAAGCATGATATGCCATGTACTGTACATGACAAGAATTCTTAGAAAATTAAATCAGATCTTTTCCTGAAGTGTACCTTTTATCTTTTCAAAACACTGTCACAGTGAGTGGGGCTAAACATGTGCACCTGTTGAGATTTCTGTAGTGTAATTTTGCAATCTGTTGAGTTAAGAAAACTATAAATTGCTCTATAAAAAAACTCTTTGGATCATGGCAAAAGCAAAGCAAGAGTGTAGAGAAAGTTTTAAAGAAAAGAAAAGAATTTGAGTGCTGTGATAAGTTGCCAAAAATGAGTGAATACAGTATGGCTATACATTAAAAATTTCAGAATCACTCTTGTGTAAGATCTTAAAAAACAGATCAAACAGAAATTTCTTCACTTTCTAATGAGAACATGTGATCATTCTCTCTTCTGATCCATGTGATCAGAAGAGAGAATGATCAGGAGAGGATAGTCAATTTGAGTCAGCATTAAAAATTTGGTTTGGTAATGTTTGTGAAAAAAAAATGCTCTGTTTATTGAACCTATTATGTGTCAAAAAGCAGAACTAGCAAAAGCTATGGGTTAAGATGATTTCATTACAACTGATGGATGGTCCAACAGGTGGAAAAATCAAGAGAATATTATATATAAATGTTTTCATAGTAAAGAAAAAAGTGCTGATTTGTTAGCAGCTATGTGTGGATAAAGACAGTGTAACCAAAAATTATTGCTGTATACTGACCTCAGTATATTTATAATGCAGATAAAACTGGACTTTCAACAATTTCAACAAAGTTTCAACAATTGGTTAATTAAGTGGTATTGTAAATTGAAGTAAAAAAACATTGTTAGTAGATCAACTGCATAGCATAAACCATTTGTTTGTAAGAAAACATCAAAATGGTCTTCTTACATTCAAACACTACATTGTTAATTCAGCCATGTAACGAAGGTATTATACAAACTTTAAAAACTCATTACAGCAGGCAAATTCATGTGCAAATTATAGGTGAACTTTATAAAATTTAAGATCAATCTGATGCAAGTGCAATTACAAAAAAGATTTTCTTTTTTGATGCATTGCATTTACTAGTCTTGGAAGCAAATCCATTGAAAATTTTTCTAAAAAGGCAAATTTTCTAAAATTAATGCTGAAACTCCTTTCAAAGAACTTTTACATTCATCATCTACATCAAATTAATGCCAAATTACAAAAGTTAAATAATAAGTTAACCCTTGTAATTTGGCATTGTTTGACATTGTTCTTGTAATTTATAAAGAATTATTTTTTAAATGTTTGAAAAGTGTACATCAGCGTTTCTCAAAGTGGGCAATAACGCCCCCTTGTGGGCACTGGAGGCTTTCAGGGGGGCAGTAGAAGGCTCAAAGAGAATTGGGGAGGCGTTAAGGAAATATAGAGGGGCGACGGCAGACAAATTCTATATATAAAAATTTGACGGAATATATATAAAATGTTGACATTTTATATATTTTTTATTTTTTATTGAAGGTCACAACTTGAATATTTCTAACACATTGACTTTTATTTTAGCTCAGCGTTTCTCAAAGTAAGCAATAACGCCCCCTTCTGGCGCGATGAATAGATCTATGATAGAGGCAGGGTATTGAACGGTGACCAAAGGCAAAATTGGGGCTGATAAGAGGAAACATTGCGTTTAATGGTTTCCAGATGATGAGAACAATGTACAGTAAGGGCACAAAGTGTGAGATTCATAGAAAAGTTTTCCTAAGAATATTTCCAATCCTTTTCTCACACAAGAGAAAATGGGTTAGGGGGCGTTGGGTATAACTTTATGGAACAAAGGGGGCGGTGGATCAAAAAAGTTTGAGAATCACTGGTGTACATCATTATTTCAAATTATAAATTGTTATTTTTCTTTGATTGTGAGGACTTGTTTAAAAACAAATAGCGTGTGTTAAAGCTCAAATTTGCAAAACAGTTCCAGACAGTATTTCTAAAGATGAATTTGAAAATTGGGTGAATATATTGAAGTGACATCTACAATGACTATCAGAAATATGTTCAGATGTTGCTGATGATAACTCCAAATTATCAGAAGAAAATGGACCTAACCTATTTACAGAAGAAGATATTACAGAAGAACAAATCATCACACAGGCGTTAATCACATATAAATATCGCTATATTTGCAAGTGCTTTTGACGTGCTATAAAACATCGTCCTATCGTCAGACGACGTTTTATAGCACGTCAAAAGCACTTGCAAATATAACGATATTTATATGTAATTAGTGCCTGTGTGATAATTTGTTCTTCTCTTGTTTAACCAAAGATCAACATGAAATCCAACCCTTGAATTCAATTAACTTACAAGATATTACAGAAGTTCCTCCATCTAACACAACAAATTTTTCAATGTGGTAGGCAATATAGAGCAACAAATTTTAAAAAGCATTATGACTATGAGAATTGTATTAATAAATGCAAACAAACAACAGAAAACACTTGAAAACTTTTTCAAATAACTTTTATGTTGTTTTCCCAAAACAATTGTTTATAAGAAATATAGCATGTGTAATGTTGTATTAACTGTACAATTTATGATAAATATAAACTTTACAGATGTCAAATTGTTTATAATACACTGATTTTATTAATGAAAATTTTTTGTTCTCTGTTTAATGTTATCAGCCAGTTATTACTATCAACAGTTGCAAGTCCTAAAGTGATCATAAAAGTGGACTCCACTGTGTAATAATTTTAATACCTGTCTGAGACATAACTGTGTATCAAGTTTTGCAATAATTGGACAATTTTATCTGTGTGTGTAATTTACTTTGTCAATGAGTGTAATAATTAAAATGAATTGTTTGATTTGTATTCGTATAATTAGTTTATTAAAATAAACTGATATTTACATAATTTTTTAAAAATTGTATTTAAGAAATTTGAATAATTTATTTTTTTATAGAATCAAGATCATTATGCTGTATTAGGCTTAAAACATAAACGTTTCAAGGCATCAGAAGAAGACTTGAAAAAAGCATGTAAGTTATTACAAATACTTATTTACAAAAAAATTATTATTTTTATTTTTAAAATTAGTAAAATTGAAATGATTAAGTGAAATCAGTAATGTTATATATTAGCTGTTTTTAAATAATATGAATAAATTAACTCATCTACAAGGACTATTTTTTAAATAAGGTCCATTTTTTTTAATAAGAAGAAAAATACTGTAAATATCATTAAAATATATTTTTTCTCATATTCTACATACTTTTATCTACTTTTCTACATAATTTCCAGTTTTGTTCAAACATTTGTCATACCGCTCAAAAATTTTTAAAATTCCGACTTCAAAGAAATCTGCCGCCTGCCGCCAGAAGACATTAGACCACGCTGCTTGTCTTGTATGGCATGGCGGAGTTTTCTCAAGGTCACAATAAGCATCAGAATTGATTGTTGTGACTCTTTACATAAAATCCACTAATAAACTCCCTTTCCTGTCCTAAAAGACAGTTACCATGATCTTTTGTGCTGAAATCGAATAACAGATCTATCTTACAGTCGGCAGGTGACTCAATTTTCTTAAACATTATAAACTTCTACAGTTCAGCACACAGACAGACCATAAGGCTGCAAATGGCATCTAAACACGCGCAAAGCATGCTGAAAGCAGATGCTCATGCACACTGCTGCAATCACACGTCATTCTCACTCATTTAATATGAGGGCTATTTATTTAAAAAATAGCCCTCATATTAAAAATCCAAAAAATTATATATTTTATTTAAAATTAAAAGGTTTTAAAAATTTAGAATATTAGAAAATGTAGACATCATTTACTTTCTCTTGCATGCCTAATTAAGTGTAGTTTATTATCTTCATGATTATTGTTGCTGAATATTCAATAAATTTCATATAACACAGTTTTTTTTGTATAATTTACTTGTGTTGTAGTTGTATTATCAATTAATAAGCTTAATTAATTATAATTAATAAAATCATTACAGATTAATTTGAAATTAAAAAATTTTTTATCATAAAATTTTGTATCACTGTGAAATAGTTAATTCTTGTATTATTTTGGAATTAATTAAAGAATGTCTAAAGAATGACAATGTCTAAAACACATGACATCCTGTTTTCTCATCTACTTTAACATCATTTATTTTTAATTTTACATTCATCTACTACATCAAATTAATGTCAAATTACAAAAGTTAAATAATAAGTTAACCCTTGTTATTTGGCATTGTTTGACATTTTTGTTCTCGTAATTTATAAAGAATTATTTTTTAAATGTTTGAAAACTGTGTACATCATTATTTCAAATTATAAATTGTTACTTGAGGACTTGTTTAAAAACAAGTAGTGTGTATTGCAGCAATATGGTGTCAATAACTAAAAAATTATACTTCTGAAAAACAATTCATTAGAAACACTTAAAATGTACATTAGCTATTTATAAAAGATGTTTTCACATTTAAAGGATCAGACTTAATTCTTCCATCTAATTTATTTAAGCTTATTTAGATAAAAAAAGAAAAGAAGATATGATGTCATTGCTTGCCAGGGCCAAGAATCTGGTACACTGTTTGATTATTGAGCTGCAATTTGAATAAAATTGTAGACCTATAAATTTTTACTGTCATTCATCTGTCTGACCATCAATCTTTCCTTAATCTTGAGAATGATGCTAGATAAATGAAATTCAAGAGCAGATATGGCAAGCTTAGAGGCAGGAGGCTCTGATTAACTATATATGAACTTCCAATGCAAACCAGAAATCACATTATTTCAGTTAAAAAATTTCCCAATAGGAGCTAGATAGATGATTGGCATGACTCCATTGCTAATGGAAAAGTATGGTGAACAGGAGCAAGATACTACAGTACTAATTTGAGGTGGAGAGCAGATATTTTAAATTAAATAAATTTAAAATATGATTAAAAATTGCAGCCTGCATTGTGAGGATGTCACAATAAATAATTGCTCATCTTTATTATAAAGTACAGGTATACCTCGCCTTACATCGGTAATTGGTTCCAGGAGAGGCGACGTAAGTCGGATTTACTTGTCTCTGAATCTACTTGCCACTAGGCTAAACCATAAATTACCATTTCCCGGTTCTGTATTTTATTTATTAATGCATTTTAAATAATATGTGGTTAATAAGGATCTATTTTAAGCTTACAAACAAATAAATTTTAGTTTTTAATATGGTACAGAAAAAAGTCATCTAAATTTACGAATGCATGTACTGTAAATACAGTACATACTTGTAAATATACAGTATATATTTTAATTAATATGATTTTATGTGCTTTATATATTTTAATTAATATGATTTTATGTGCTTTAAACACTTTTCTAGTGATATTATGACTTCAATATTTGTGGCAGACAGACGTAAAGTCGAATAAAATGACTTAAACTTGATTTTTATTTTTCCATATACTTTTTTAACAAGCGACGTATAATCGGGAACGACGTAACTCGAAACCGACGTAAGTCGAGGTATGCCTGTATATA